AGGTATTTTGTGAGTGAGAAAGCATGAAGGCATAGAGCAGAGGTGACTGTTGGAAACAGCTGGGAAGAAAAAGACAATTTTGTTTCAGCTTTGCAGATCACCCAAAGTTTGCTCTCCTTGCGTCCTGCTACTTTCATGCCTGCTTTTTAACATCTCACCTAAACTCCATCTTCTAAGAAACTGAATTCTTAGTGTTAAGTCTCCTATTTTGGTTGCAAAAGCAGAGCTGACAGTGAAGTTAAGCAGCAAAGCCAAGGCTGCAGGTATCTGAAAACAAAGCAGTAGCTCAGGCACAAACCAGAGTGAGGGATCCTGTGTTAGGTGTGCCCAGCTGCCCAGGCAGCGACAGCCATCGTGAGAAACAGCACAGGGTGTGCAGCTGAAAATAGAATTTGTTCACCACTCCTTCATCCAGGGCAAACGCAGCATAGTTGGGGAGAGACCAAATCCCTCTTTGGATTTTTGTGCTGTGTTTATATGCTGAATCTTCAACCCTAAGCATTTCTGTTCTGTTTCTTATCAATGCTGCTTTCAGAGGAAAGGAGGAAACTGGGTGCAAGGGTATAAGAGCACCTATAAGAAGAGAGCTGTTTCCTCAACATATCCTGCAAGTTGGGCTCAATGGCTGTGGTCTGTTGCACATTCTGGCTGTGGCAATGATGTGGTACCAGCAGTGCTACAAAGTGATGGGCTGCCATTAGATTATCCTCTCTCTCCCTGTGCCCATCTGTTCTGGGAACCCTCAGCTATCTGAGAAGTAATTTAAAACACTCTGATTTTGGTACTGCAACTAAGCAAGCACAGACATTTTTCTAAGTTAAAAACAAAATGGGTTTTTCAAGCTGTTGCATCTTGGTAAAGAAATAGTGGATGTTATATATGCTTGTCAGGTGGATATTAATGAGCAAGATGTGATGCTATAAAATAGCTCCTGGAAATGACAGAGATTCATTCTGCACTTCTCTAAGTCAGTGGAAGTTTTGATGATGAGTTTTGACAGGCACTGGATTAGGCCTAAAACATTCCCAGCTTTTTGGCCATTGACAATTTTTTTGACAGTTTTACAACCAGTAGAGACTTCCTACCACAATACAAATGCAACAACACTGTAAAGACTTCCCCCAGGGAGACATCTTTGCTTTTAGCTGGGTACCTCGTTACACCCCAAGGGAAATCAAACAGTACAGGGAAAAAGAACTTGATATCTGTAATGTTGCTTAGCTTTTCCCCTGCTCTACTGGATATTTGTATTTTGTTATCTCTGGAGACAATCTACTATTTGGGAAAAGAATGAAAACAACCCTCCTAAAATAGAGTTTTACAGTTTAATGATCCCTGCACTGAAATTTTACATTATACACTTAGACTGCATACATGATGGAGAGGGAGGGTGGAACTAGCATGAGGTCAGAGCTCCATGACCCCATGTTTTTTGCCAAATCAATCATCTCAGTCTTCTTTTCATAAGGTGATGGTGACACCTCACAGAGCTGTTATGATAATTTGTTTATATAACAAAAGTACATGGCTCGAGGGATAAAGCTTTTTGTACCTGTATAATTTCCAACATTCCCAGGTTGCCTTTTGGTGTGCAATTACAGAACATCTGCTCTTTTTAGTCCTTCTAGTATTACTGTTAATGTTTTGGCAAAGGCACCTGAAACATAGCATAGATGCATAAGTACATAATATCAAAAGTCATGCAGAGTGTATTCAAAAGATAAACTAATATAATGCTTAGCTTTATGTGGCTTAATTTGCACAAAAATGGGAAGATTCGGAATTGAGTGTTTCTTAGCTACTTTAGGACCTCTCCCAGGTTTACCTGTAGTAAAAAGGGAGATGGGATCTACAACTGCTTATTAGGCCAAAGGAACTGCCAGTCAGAAGCTGGGCTACCCTGAGCACTTTCCACGTGGCAGATAAGAGGTGTAAGGAGAAGGAGCAGTGTGTGAACAGTCAGCAGCAATGCTGGGAGCAAGGGAGGGGCGAGCTGGAACCAGCAGTTTCAAGTGGAGAGCCTCAAGGGATCATTATGTCCATCCGTGCTGACCTGAAGATGAAAATCCCACACGTTTGCATTGTCTACGTGGGCTGTGCTGTTCCTCCCACCCAGTCCCTAGTTCCTACTCATGTATCTGTTTCCCAGGGTCAAAGCTGTTTCTGAAGGCAAGCTGAAGGCCAGTTTCCCTGCATGTGAGTGGAGCAGTGGAACAGGCTTGTTTGTGCTCCCTCCTTCACCTTCTGTTCCCAAATGGTGATTCCCCACCAGGCAAAGAACAGGGATGGTATCTGCAAGGACAAGGCTTCACTGCATTTCCAGTGTGCCCCACCTTGCACCTGTGTGCAGAGCATGGATGGCTCCCACAGAACACAGCTCCTGCTGCAATGCACCGGCTGGGAAGATGTTGGAGTTGCACAGTTTGACCTAGGACCAAAATGAAGGGTGTTTAGGCATTATTGCCCTGGGTAACCTTGAATTAGTCACCTCAATGTACACATTTGTGTTCAGGGGAGTGGGATGGCACTGATGGCTCTGCAGCCTCCTGGCACATCGTGTCACATCTCCCTCAGCCACTGGCCCTAAAATGGGGACCAGGATATGGGCCCACAGAGGGCAAGTAGTGACAGCAGTGATAGCAGTGCTGTGCTGGTATTGCTGGGAATGGCAGAAAGCACTTCCCAGCCTCCTGTGGTCAGAGGAGCCAACTCCTGAACAACCCAGTGATTCAGACCTTGATGGCAGCAGCAAACTACATGGGGTAAGAAGAGAACTCCAGGGAGGAAGCAGAAGCTTAAAGGACTACAGTCGATAAGTGTACTTAAATCCTTTTAACGAGGACCAAAAAGAGTTGGCTTGGCACAGATAAGTTTGAAAATTAAGTATACACCAAGAACTTGCAAGATTCAGTCCCTCCAAACAAATGTGAAAGGCTTCAAAAACCTAAAAATCCAGCTTTGACACAACTGCTGAAAATGTCTTTTAAAGAGAAGCCTCTATGAGAGCTTCCAAAACAAAGAGAAAGGCAGCCCAGAGTGGTATCCTTGTTACCAGCATCAGCAGATGAATGAGAGAGCAGGAGAGGATGGTTAGCTGTTTGAAGGGAATTAAATCTTTCCCTTTCTGACCACAGAGATTAGACAGAAGGAGAAGAGTTGTCTGTTTCAGATACCTTGTAGCATTGAGGAGCAACCATCAAAGGGAAACTGCCTTGTGGGATAATGGTTGGGCAAGCAAGAGGATGCAGCAGATAATGGAAGATGATGCTTACCCAGAGAGGCTGAGCCACAAAGAAAAAAGATTAGTACAGCCTCACCTATAGTGAAAATGAAATGGTAACAAGGGAGAAAAGCAGTGCAAAAACCTCAGGAAATCTGGGTTCCTCAAGTGTATTCTTGCAGCAGTGTGCACTGTCTTAATTTCTTACTGAAATTTTGCTGTTGTGATCAAGTTCTGATTTTGTGGTTTATAGAAGAGGCATTTGCAGCTCAAGTTCTGCAATATTTACATAGGCAAAATTCCCAGTGTTTTAAGGGGTAGGTATGGGCTCTTAAGTCTTACTTTTGACTGGGTGAGGACTTGGAGTCTGCACAATTACCATACCGTAAGTATTAATAGATCCTTCCTAATAGGAAAGTTATTTGAATTTAGGATTGCAGCTTAGTTTCTCTAAGCTCCACATAATCTATTTACTTAGAACACAGCTTTCATTCTGCACTTACTAATCTCCAGCTGTAAAGATTCAAAATGCCACACAACATACAACTTGTGCATGTTGATGGAAATGGCTCTGGAAGTCATGCCATGCTGCATGGAATGCATAAATGTATGTTTAGTGACATTGCAAAGCCAGGATTTGGTCCTGGGAGTCTTCAGACCTCTCCCAACTCTGCCCCATAATGGAGTCCCATGAGTTGGATCCCCTTTTCTGAATGATGGATTTGTTTTTCTTGCCTTCCTTCAGGTTGGTGGTTTCAGATCAGTGGGCGAGGCTGTGAGGATGCTCCACAAAACAACCTTGCTCCATTCAGCTCAGAGCCAAAAAGGAAAGGGTCCTACCCAACCAAGTCACAGGTATGTGTTGTCACTTCTCAGCCATTACCAGCTCCTGAGCTCCATCAAACCTCGCCCCAGAGCCAAATTAGTTTTCTACTGGTCACCTTGTAGAAAAGTAAGGAGAAAAACTCCAAAGCTCTGATAGGTCTTCCTGTGACAGTGAGCTGAACAGAAACAAGGCAGCTCTCACCAGTGCCTGATGGGACACAGGGGATGCTGAGGCTGAGAGTGGTGGGATGTGAGATGTTTGTGAAATGGGGATGCCCCGGGGCACTCTGCAGCCCAGATAAACCAGACGTGTTTCCCAACACCATGCTGATCAGAGGCCTGAAGGCTGCACCCCTCTCTCCCAGACACAGGCAGGACTAGCTCCACGTATGCCTCCTCCCCTCCCCTCTGACTCAGCCCTAATGCTATGCTCAGCTTTTCACCTCCCCTTCCTCAGGCAACTCGGTTCACTTTTCCTCACTCCCTTTTTGCTGATCAGCTGCTCAGTATTGCTCCACATGCCCAAATGGCAGCACAGGATCCCCCTGGCACTCCTGGGAAATGTGTCCACACCCACCTGAGTTCGGGACACAGCCAACCTTTCCTTCTCCCCCCATGATTTCTGGAGCATTATCCCAAGCTCAAGCACCCTGTATCTCTCTCTGTGAAGACTGAAAGCTTTGGGGTACACGTGGACATTGTAGGAAGGTGGTCAGGGCTCAGGGTGCTCTGCAAGCACTGCAGCTCAGGGAGATATGGGTGAGTTATCTCTTGGTAGGTATCTGAGATTTTAATTAAACCTGGTTTATAAGAGTGGGCACAACGCCATGCAGGGAGGTTATGTGCCATTACACCTTGCCCTAAGGATGTGCTGACTTGGTCTCCACAATCCTGGAGATTTCTGCACTGTCGAGGCTCTGCCTCCCAGCCCTGCAACCCTAGCCAGCCAGCAGCAGCAGGTGATGCTTTATTTACTCTTTTACATTCATCATATAAAATTAATAATTGATTCCTAATAGTTGAGGTTTGTAGCACTTTACCAGTTAAAGAGTCAGGAGGTACCATTTTGCCCAGAAGTGGATTCTGAATTGATTTTTATTTTAAAACTTTCCCTTTCTGCAGCCAATACCAACATTTCTGTGCCTTGTCCCAAAGTTGAGCAAATAATGTAAAGAACTTTGACATTTTCTATGGAAGTGCAAACTGAACTTCCAAACTTCTCATTTGCCTTGCTTATGTGTTTTAAAGGTTTAAAAACCTTTTAAACCAAGGCTGGGGGTTTTGATTTGAGGAAGGGGTAGAAGACAACACAATTATATGTAGCTCTAAAGCATATCTTAAATTTTTAGAGACCTTTCAAACTGTAAAACAAAACAAAATAAACTCGGATTTGGATATAATCTTCCTTTTCCCTCAGGGTGCCTGAAAAGTGCACAACACAAATCTCATCCTGAACAAAAGTTGCTTGAATTGCCTCTTATCTGAGGCAAGGAAATGCATAAGAAAACAACTGCTATGAGATGTGCCACACGGGATTCTTCAACTGCTGGTCCACTTCTTCAAGCTGCCTTGGGAAAAAAAAAAGAGAAAACGTTAATTACGTAAGAAAACCTATCTCTCCTCCCAGTGAGCGACAAAGGGACTCATCCTCACCAGGTCCTGGCAGAGCAGGCAGCTGCCGGTGCCGCTCTGCCTGGGCTACTTTGCGATTTTAAAGCTTTTTGGATGGAGCCGGCGGGGAGCGGGCGCCGATCCCGGGTGTACGAAGCCGTGGCTCGGACTCCCCCCGTCCGCTCCAGCGATGGTTTCCTTGACCAAAACCTGCGACTTCGGCTCTCGCCGGCAATGAAAAAAGAAAGTGTCATTGGAAGGGGGGGAGCAGAGGAGGCGGGCTTGATCCATGGAGCCCGCCCCTTTTTAAACAGAGAGTCCCGGCAGCTCTCGTCCACCAGCCCGACGGGGGGAGAGGCGGAAAGCGAGGGAGAGCAGGCAGGCAGGCGGGCGGGCGGGCGGCTCCCCCGTCCTGTCCCGGCCCGTCGGTCCCGACCCCGGCCCGTCCGCCCCCGCGCACCATGCGCGGCCCCCGGCGCCGCCGGCCCGCCCGCCCCTAACGCCGCCGGCTCCTGCGCCTTCCCGCGGCAGCGCTCCGGGAGCCGGGAGGGGGCCGCGAGAAAGGAGAAGGGAGGAAAAAAAAAATTATAAGAGGGAAAGGGAGGAAAAAGGAGGAGAAGGAGCGGAGGCGGGGAAAGCTGCTCCTCCGAGGACAGCGCGCAGCACCATGCAGCTGGCGCCGCTGGCGCTGGCACTCACCACGCTCTTCATCGACGGCTGGAGGACGGCAGCGAGGAGGCAGAAGCTGCACCCCAGGCAAGGTAAGGGGGTGCTCGGGGAGGGGTAAGGGGAGTGCTGCGCTGCCGCCCCCCGGGGCCGCGGGGCTCGGCCACTTCACTCAGCGTCTGTCCCTTCGCAGCCCAGCTGCTGGAGAAGCTCAGCGAGTACGAGATCGTGACTCCTACCCGAGTGAATGAGTTCGGTGAGCCCTTCCCCACCGATGTCCACTTCAGGCGGCGCCGGCGGAGCACCAGTGCTGCCCCCGACGCCTGGACGGCGGCCGCCGCCGGCTCCCCGAAGGCACACTACAGGCTGTCCGCCTTCGGGCAGCAGTTCCTCTTCAACCTGACGGCCAGCTCGGCCTTCATCGCCCCGCTCTTCACCGTCAGCCTCCTGGGAGAGCCCGCCGCAGACCAACGGCGCCTCTACGCCGAGGCGGCCGACGCCGATGTGAAGCACTGCTTCTACCGGGGGCACGTCAACGCCCGCCCTCGGCTCACCGCCGTTATCAGCCTCTGCTCCGGGATGGTGAGACCCCCGCCCCGCTGAGGGCCAGGGGCGGAAGCGCGGAGGAGGAGGAGAAGGAGGAGCGGGGCGAGGGAGGGTGGGCGGCCAGAGCGGTGGTGCCCGCCCCTTCCCCTGACGGCGGCGGGCGGCTCCGGCCCACCCCGGCGGGGGCTGGCTCCCACGCCGCTCCTCGTCCCTCGGGTTCGGGATGCGCCCCGCTCCTGCCCTGCGGATTTTTGGGGGGAAAATGCCACCCATCGACACCTGGAGGGGCGGCCTGTGGGCCAGACCCGGGCACGGAGCCCGCCTGCTCCCGGGGGTGCCGGGGTGCCGGTGAGGGATGGCTGCGGGCTTACCACCAGCGCTGGCCCCGGAGCCCCGCAGCACCCGGGACAAGGCGCATGTCCCGGTCCCTGATACCCCAGCTGGGTGCCCTTCGGTGCAGGGATGTTGGCACCGGGATGTGCAGAAGCTCCTAAAAGGGCTGACTCTTCTGTCTGACCTGGTACCTTTCAGTCCCACGGGATGTCAATTTCAGGGGCTCCCCGGAGGTTTCTGCTGGCTTCATTCAGTCCCGGGGTTCCTCTGGGTGCATGTGTTCACCTAGGCTTGGGCACATGTGTATGTGGCTTCCCTCCCAGATACTGACCGTGGATACCAGTATGGGATGGCTGCAGAATGTTTTGTCTTGGATATTTTTTTATTTACCCACCAAATATGTGCATTCATAGTTGTACGCTACTAGGAGAGCATTGATGTCTCCTTGTAAGCAGGGATTTCGCTAGCCTGGACACTTTCCTCTGGTCTTATATGTGGGTTAAAAGCCTGTCTCAGGGAAATGTGCTGTGTGAAGCCAGCACATGATGGGGTTGCACTGGGGCCTCCAGCACACAGCAGCACCATCACCCTTTGGGCAGGACTGGCTTGGTGAACATCACTGGCATAAGGACAGAGTCTGGCAGACATGCCTCTCTCGTGCTCCCTGCCTGTGGGTTGGTAATTAGCCCTTTGTAAGCACCAGTGGGACGGCTGTGCAGCCCAGGGTGGGTGCAAGCAGTGTGACCAAAGCTGCAACTCCAGCCACTGCCCTCACAGGGGTTACCACAGAACTAGGCACACCTCCCTCATTAGCTTCTTGCTTTGTGGGGTAGTGCTGCTAGGTGGCTTGTCATCGCACACAGCTGACCTTCTGTTCCTCTCTCTGGACCCTCTCAGCTAGGCACATTCAAGTCTGATGATGGGGACTATTTTGTAGAGCCACTCCTATCGCTTGAGGAGCAGGAGTATGAAGAAGAGCACAATAAACCACATCTTGTCTACCGACACCGGACACCTCCAACCAACTCTTCAGGGGACTGGCAGACTTGCAATACTCCAGGTACTCATTTTCTTACTGCCTCGGATGACTTGATACTTGGAAGTGCTATTTGCAGTCAAAAGGCAGTAGGTTTGTGGGGGAAAAAAGAGATGTGGAGTTGAGAGACCCCTCTAGAAATGGTGCTGTGAGTGCTAGGACTGGGCTCGTGGTGGTAGCGCTGTCCTGGAGAGATGTGGTGCACCCGTGCTTTCTAGGAATTGGTTATGAGGAAGTTGTGGTCAGAAAAAAGTTTCCCTTTGATTCCTGAGGTAAAGCTGGCAAGAGAGCTTTTCATCTGTCTTGCCTTAAGTATCCTGTGAGCCCTTAAACTCGTTTTCTGTTCTATCCTACATGTAATTCCCAACCATCCTAATCTGATATACTCTCTGTATGATACTCTGTCCTTTAAATGACATCTGTCTTAGTCTTGGTGTGCTCCTGGTCTTCTTTCCCCAAATCTGGCTGTGAGTTGTCATGCCTTACCTCTTTCTAGTGGAAATGAGGAGGTCCTAACACCAACCCTGACAGTTTTCAGTAATCACTTTTCCATGGTTCATTTTCAAAGGCTTTTTTTTCCTCATGGCCCTTCCTCCACCAGCACCATCTCCCTGACCTCCTCACTCCCTCTTTCTAGTCCTTGCACATATGAAAGAGCACAGACCTTTTTCTCCCCCCCTTCATGTGCCTTGATGAGCAATAACCTTGCTCCTACTGTCCCTATTATCTACAGTGGCCTCCTGCTGCTCTCTGCTTCCCTGACTTCCTGATGTTCACAACTAATCCTCCCCTTTGGCAGCAAATACCTCAGTTTTCTCTGATGAAGCTTATTCCTTCAGTCTCCTGTTTCACCTGCTGTTTTGCCTTTGTCCTTTGGCCTGCAGCTAGATCTACAGGAACTTTAAAACCTAAACAGAGTAGACCTTGACTGAGTTCCCTTGTGGGCTGCAAGCTGCTCATATGCTGCAAAGTAGGTGGAGTTGCTCAGGAAGTAAAGGTACCACTGGAGGAGAAGTATGGTGCCCAAATTAGGCTGCAGTTAGCACACGTTACTTGTTTGGCACCCATGACTGTGATCGTGGCTGTGCTGTTGAGCTGTCAGTCTGTTCAGCTTGCACTGATCATGCTGAGTCCAAAGATGCTCTGATACTCTGTGACCAGCCAGAGCAACATGTGCTTCTTCTGGAAGACTTGTGAATCCACTTCCACATGCAAACCTATGTGCCAGGGGTACAGTGGCACCTCTCACAAGGCTGTCATTGTTTGTTCTTCCAAGGGTTGCTGCTGGAATATGCCATTCTGGTTTCTCTCTTCCAGCTGTTTCTGCTCCCTTCTTTGAGATCAGATGCAGGAGACTCAGAACAGTTGGAAAGAAACACGGAATCTGGCACATTGCATCAGTAACCCTTGGAGGAACGGAGCAGCAGATCACAAGACTCATTGAATCAAAGGTAGCTGGGAGGGCTCTGAATTTTGCTTGTGAACTTGACTCTGTGCTGCTGTAACAGACTGCTGTATTGTATCATAGTTCCCATTTAGAATATTATTCTTCTGTATTGTAATTCACAAGAATAACACTCCATCTGTGATTTTGCTGTATATCTCTTCCTCCTTTGTTCCACTATGCTTTGCTTCTTGCTTGTCTTTGTTTTCTTGCTCTTCTCAGTTGCCTTATGTAGTGGAGGGAGGAGTTCTCACCTCTCAAACACAAGCTTAAGTGTTCCAGATAGGCATGAGAGTCTTGTCTCCCTGTCCTTTTTTCCCTCCATCTCTCCCTCTTTTCCGTCTATTCTTTTTGTCATCATCCAAACTTTTGAAAGGGCATGATGCTATGGCCATATGTGTATTGTGAACAAGTCTTGGTTATTTCATTTAAGGAGCAAGTTCAGAGCAGCTTGGGCAATGATGAACCTTGGCATCCTACCTGAGGTTACAGCTGGTGAGAGAAGGTGTCTCACAAGTCTTTACAGCAGAGGTGAATGTGCAAAATCTAGCAGCACTCACTGTTTTAGACAAGGTGTATCTCTCACTCCTGCCAGAGGAGAATGGTTTTGTGAGAGTTTGGGAGTTAGTCATAATTGTAGGGTGTTGTGTGAATCCAGTCTTTTGTCAGAAGAATGTGTGAAATGGTGCCTTTGCTTTGCAGGCTTCTGGCAGGGGTGGAAATTTGCTTGAAGAGGAAATTCATGGGAGGGAAATCTAAGGTACCCCCCTGAGGTGAGCAAGGGACCCTGTGTTGCCAGGCAGTGGTGCTATTAAGAATGACTTTCTGATAGTCATCTTCCTGGAAATGATTAATAGTCAACATACTAGTGTGCCCTTGCCATAATGATGTAATTTTAAACTTCTTGAGGTATTCAGGAAAGTTTCCCTTGTGAATTGCCTAACAAATTGAGTAAAAGCTTTCATTTGCAGCAGTCTCCCTGGTTGTACTTCTAGTTTTCAGTGTCCTGAGGTCAGCTTAGAAAACCAGGCATTTGCTTTTGTGAAGTTTTAATTAGCAGTTTCTGATAACAGTTTTAGGTCCTCTGACATAAAAATACTCTACAGGTGTTCTGGAAAAAGATCTTTTTCCTCTGAATGCTGATGGATATCAAATGGAAGCTGTGCTCTGCAGATGAACTTTCATAGCACAGCACTGGGGTCTCTGGCAATGTATTTGAGCTGTCTGGCATACAGCTCAACTGCTGCAAGAAAAACTTTGGACAGAGTTTTCCTTGGGGTAACAGGTTAATGTAGTTTCAGTCATAGGAAATGGTGCATTTTCCTGTCCTTCTTTTCTTGTAGTCAGTGCCGTGAATCAGTTTGTCATCTGGCCGGGGATCTGGCAGGATAATCAGTTGTGTTTTACTGAATAGCCCTGACGGGATGAGGGCTTGGCCAGGCAGACAGCATGATGTCACTGAGGTGCAGCACCACTACCACCCATCGCTTCAGGATAGCAAGCTCTTCCGACCCAATTATCAAATATCCGCTTTTTTGAGGTGGAGGAGGAAGAGAAAAGAAATTGCGATCCTAAAAAAAGAAAAGAGGAAGTGGCTTATTGCAAGGCTGGAGAGCGCCGCTTTCCTGCACCCCATGGAGGAACAATCTGACTCCAGCGATAAAGGCACGGAGCTGCATCCTGCATCCGTGTGCCAGCCACCTTCATGAGGCAGGCAGCATCTCCCCAAGCCCCCATCCAGTGGGACCTTCTGGCAGGAGCAGACCTGTGGGCCCTTTCCATGTGAAACCATCAAGGTTTGGTCTTGCACAGAGATGTCCAGCTCCAGATGC